TGCCCATAATTAACGAAGATATGATACAGTTGATGTTGGAATTTAAGAAGCTCAAAGATCAACCGAAAATTGTGCCAAGAGGGGTGAATTGACCAATTGTGTTTAGGGAGTAAGGAGAAAGAAAAGATAGAAAATTTTGCATAAGGATTTATAGTGGTTCGATTTCTCAACTAAGTCTACATCCACTACCTAAGCTCGTCACTTAGGATTTTCCAATAAAACCACTCATTTGTTCTTTCTTTTTCAAGGATAAAGAGATAATCTTTACAACTCCTTTGTTTTTCACTTGGCTAAACTAGAACCAAACCCCCTTTTACAAAAGGAAAAAGATGTAAACAAGAAAACCTCCTTAAGGTAGGTGTTTACAAAGAATTAATCTCACAAGAAACACAACTATTTACAAGAGAACGGAAATAAAGAGTGAAAGACTCTTCTCTTGCCTTTGATTGCTTGGATAAGGCGTTCTAACCCTTCTTCAAGTGTACTCAACTTGTTTTTATATGTTAGAATGTGTTTGTGGCTGTTTATAGCCGTTGGAAATGTTTTCTCTTTAAAATAAAACTGCCCAGGAAAGAGAGTATCAATACTCCTTTAATGAATATCAGTACTTCCTTTATATTATTTAAATAAACTAGTTGTTACTAGCCGTTGGGCCTGAACAATATCGATACTATGCTCATGGTATCGATTGTAACACCCCCAACCCGTATCTGACCCGAATACGAATATGAGGTGTCACATTGACTTTTTAAAATGTTTACTTTTACAAAATCTCATAAAATTTAAAACTTTTATTGAAACAACAATACAATAATTTACATAAATACCATCAAAATGATTACAAAATCGATCAGAGCATATATGATTTAAACTGTAATTACATGCCAACATAATTATTACAACAAAATGACATATTGTTTTAAATCACTTCTGATCTGATCGCTTCAATGGAGATGATGCCTTCCTAAACTTTAACTTTGGTCTTCCTGTTTTTTGTTACCTACGTGTAAACCACTTACACGCTAAGTCACAGACTTAGTGATGCATAATATAACATGTAACAATGAATTCATGAAACATGAAATTCTATAAATTCCATAATAACCTTACCATTTACATATATTTCCTCAACTATAACATGCAACATCACAAAATGCACAAATGAAACATATAATCTTATAAGGTTTTTAATTCAGTTTATCCTTTGGAATGCCCATGTACATTACTGAGAACCTGAGGTACGTGAGTACATTGATGTTGTGCACATATGTTGTCACCACAGCTCGTATAAATTCCCACTAAGGGTACTTAAACTTGTCCCGAAGGACCACACATATACATCCCTAAAGACCACTCCATAAGGATCACTCCATAAGGATCACATATATATTCCAAATGACCAAATATGTGTTTCGAAGAACCGCATATATGTTCCAAATGATTACATATATATATCCCGAAGAACCACATAGAACCCTCGACTCTTGGCATGTCAATTATACCTATAACTCTCATATCATATAAATATGGGCTTGATATGGATACATGTCACATTTTCATATATCTTCTATCACTTCTCATATAAACACATCACATGCTTCACATGTACACATATGATCACTTGTCTTATTATACATAACTTGGATTTGTTCTCTTATGGTTGCATACATCACATATTATATCATATTAAAGCATGTATGAGTTATGCATGTACTCATTATAATCATAACATATGTATGCACATGAATATGAAATCATGAAATCAAATATAGGAAATAGAGTTACCCAAAGTCTCATTTTCATAAAACAATATCTATACTAATTATGGTATGCACTCACCTTAGCCTCACTTGATTTGAATCAATTCTAGAATTGTATCTCTCTCTTCGACCGTTTCTAATTCTTCGATTGTTCCGGAACTTGCTTATACTCGACATCTACATAATCATACATTTATACACATATCAGCATTCCAAATATCATGATTCGATCATTATTTTCTTATACTAAAAGAAAGGCATAATTTCTTATACTAAAAGAAAGGCATAATTTCATTTTTTTTTTATTTGGAGTAGTATCGGTACCCCCTATAGGGTATCGATACTTCTCTAGTTATGGTATCGAAAGTATCGATACCGAGCTTGGGTATCGATACCTAATTTGCATTCTAGAATCCTTGTTTCAAAAATGGTACTGATACTGACATTTTGGTATCGGTACTCTTGGTATCGTTACTACCTTCCAAATATCATTCATTTACTCTTGAAGTATCGGTACTGGATGAAGTAGTACCGATACTCATAGCCCATATTTCACTTTTTTAAACCCGAAAATTAATCCATATCAGCTTAAATTCTTCATGTCTTAATCCCTTTTATACTCTTAACTTAAGTACACATACTCAAACCAATTTCTATTCATCTAATACATCTTTATTTTCAAAATCTTCTCCTATAACTTGAATTGAAGAATCCTACCAAATTTCTAACATGTTCTAATTTCAATTCTAACACTTCATACTTCTTAATTAAGTTGATGACAAGTCAATTCTAGTCTCAAACTTTATTTACTAACTCTCTTCCAAGATTTCACTTATCCCTCTCTTATCTTTAATCATTCCTAACTCCCTTATCTTTTGATTTTAAGATAACTTAAGTTTTCCTTAAGCTTAAGTATCATCTAAAGAACATAAACAAAACTTAAATTCAATGAATAATCACTTAACAAGGAACTCACCTTTTCCAATTAGCTTTCACGCCTGAAGGAAGAAGAAGAAGAAGAGTTATCTGGAAAATTTTGCTTTTTGCTTCCCTTCTTCCACGTGGTTTAAATATAACCACTACCAAATTTAATTATTTTCCTTACCAAATGACCACTTTGTCTTTCTATTTATCTTTCTTTGCAATTCAATCCTACACAAAACTTTCCATATAAGTCCTTGAACTTTTCAATTTATCTACTTTAGTCACTAAATTATGAAGTTTTACAATTTGGTCACTAACCTAGTTTTTAGGATGTTACATCGATACTACTATGTAAAGTAGTATCGGTACCCCTTTGGGTATCAGTACCTATTTTGCATTATAGAATTTGAGCAAGCTGGTAGTATCGATACTACCTTGAGAGTATCGATACTTCTCTTACCTTTGGTATTGGTATCATATGAACATTATCGATACTGTTTATATAGTATCGATACTATAATAATAGTATAGGTACTTCGTACTTTGAAAACCAGTTTTGTGCTCAAATCTAGTTTAATGGACTTTGAATTATTTTAGAAATCTTTTGAAATCTTTGAACAAATTCAAATAAGTCCAAAAATATTTTGCCTTTAATTTGTTATATTAAAACATTATAAAACATGGTTCAACAGTTGAGTTGTGATAATTTTAATTTGTCAACGAGCCATAAATGTTATATGCATTTTTATGGTATTGTTAAAATTTTCTTTCATCATTGACAATATTATTTATTTGCATCTATCATTTGTTTAAATCGATTGATTACGTTTTTAACTCTTTCCTTATATATTTTTATTCTTAATGACTAATTTGTGCACTTCAGTTATGTTGTTTACTTGAGTAATTACTCTTATTTTTAACTTTTTTTGTTGAAATTTTTAGATATTTCCTTTTTATTTAATACAATCAGTGCTTACTATTGATCCAAAAAATATTTGACACACATATAACATATAACATTGATGATCCATTATTAAAAAATAAAAAGATAAACTTATTTAAAAATTATTATGATATATTATCTAATTTATTTTATACATAAACTTATATAATATTATATTAATATGTAAAATATAGATTACTTTGTCAAATATTTGTATTATTCTGAATATTTCTTTATAAAACATTTCTATTGATTTTTATTAAGAAAAAGTACAATTGTTCAAATTAAATTTAATGAAAGAAAAAAAAATGTGATACAAGTTCCTTTGTTACTTTAATTATAATCATTTCACCAATAATTTAATGTAAAAAAACTAATGTTTCTCTTTTAAGTATTGGTTTTATTGATATATTTTGAAGAATAAATTTGAAATAAATAAACCTTAAATCTTAAATTCTAATCCTAAATTATAAACTCTAAATAATAAACTTTAAACATTAAATAAAATACATGTTAACATTCAAAACCTACTTATAGATTTTTTTTCACCGTCAATACACAGGATAATAATCCTAATATTAAACTTTGCTTAGTTTGATATTAACTTTACACTGATATGGGTTTATATATATGATGCGTTCCCTACGATTCAATTTATATTACACAAGGCATCGTTAGGTGCACCTACATAAATGTGCTCAATCAAATATCACATTTTCTTTCACTAATCAAGCATCATTTGATCTAATTCTTGCCTTGCACACAAATAATCAAGTTTCTCTGTCATACGGCTTCCGTTAAGACAATCGACCCTCATGGTGGTTGAGACTAACATGCAAGGAGAATCAGTAACACCAGAATGGCAATCGATTTAAACTTGTTTTTGCAGCAAAAGGATATATTGAATTTTGGCCTTTAATTTCCATTGTTGTGAATTGAAGTCTTCTATTAAATGCCTGAAACTTGCATCTCAAAACAAACCCATTACTTTTCCCCCCAGAAATTCACAATCCTAGTTAAAAATTTAGGTTAGTTAGGAATAAAATTAGATATGAATGTATAGGACGATATATGAATTTTGATTTTATGTATTATATATATGAGAATTTAAATTTTATTCAATTAAATATATAAAATTTTGATTTAATTATAAATATTTTTATAAATTTAATTATTTGTGTATATAATATATATAAATATAAAGTGATGCGTTATACTATAATAATTTACGAAAATTGAATTAAACTAAGATTGAATGTATATAATTACACAAAATCATAGTTATATTACATATATGATAAAAATTAAAATGAAATTTTAATATTTATGCATATATGTTGTCAAATGCAAATTTGCAGGAATGATAAGAAAAATCTGTGCTCCAAATATTGCAGAAAGTAACGTGTAAATCTTTAATCAATGTGTGATCATACAAGTAATATCCCGTGTAGCTATGAAGGCATAAATTATATGGGGGGAAACATCTCAAGAACGTGTTTCTACAAAATGAAGTAAACAAAAAGATTGATGACGAGAAGAGAAATAAAGTAACAATCACAAATTCTAATCCATCAAATTATATTGCCTTGGATCTGTGACATTTATCTTCCAATGCTCATCCTGGAACCCTTCCTTTGCAGCTATTTTTCTATCCCAGTCCAAGTCATTCTTTCTTTGCTTCGTCAGCCTACATTGCTGCTGCAACTTCACATCCATGGCGTCATGGAACTTCCACCATCTTAGTTGTGCCACATCACTGGCGTAAACACGTTGGTCCCCTATGTCCCAGTTGCAGTCATAATCCCTGTAACAATGCCAAGGCTTCAACCCCAAGTAATGGATCGAGTAAACCTTAGGTGGTTCGGCTGAAAAAAGCTGGCTCTTTAAACCAGTTTCGACGGTGCTGTTGGCCCAAAAGTTCTTCAGAAAGTTCACTCTCCTCGGTAAACGATGCCACCAAACGAATACTTCATTTAGAAAACCTTGGTCCCCTCCGTTGTATGAGAATATTTCCTTACGTTTGTTCATTAAAAGCTTGAACGTGCAATTCGATGGCTCGATCACCATAATACCCGAATTGAAAATCCAAATATCGTTTCCGGTAGCAGTCATTTGAGGGAAATGGAAAAGGGGATCAAGGTTTTTCAAGACAAGGATGTCTGCATCAATGAATATGACCTTGTCATAATCCGTCATCTGCCACAACCGGAACTTGCTGTAGTTGTATTCGTTGTAGGAGCCTTTTTCGGCTCGAGGGTTTCGGATTCTCTTGATGAAGCGGAGTTGCCACCCGGCCGCCTTAAGGGCTTCACGGTTCGGCTCAGTGATGGACCGGTCTAGGAGAAGGACGAGGTCGCGGTTGGTGCTGGCTTTTAGGAGACTTTGAGCTAGCGTTATGGCTCCGCAAACATATGATTCGGAAGAATGGAGGACTGTGGCATAGGCTTCACGCTTGGGGGTAGTTGTTGCTTGCTGGATTTCAGAGACATCAAACACTTCATCGTTTCCTGAAATGTGTATTCATTATCTTCCCGTTATTAACCATTAATGGAATTCCAATCACTTTTGGGTGCTTAATTATCACCAAACTGGACTAATTAGTGCTGATAAAATTTATTTCTGCAAGTAAAGGTGAGTGACATTGCTTGCAAATAAAGAAAAAAAATATGATGACATATTGAATTCCGACTCAGTTTTGATGTTGAACGTCGAACTAAAGAGTTAATGCATGTGAAGGAAATCGATATATTTACAATGATGAGTTATAAGAGTTAGCATCAATAGCGGGATTCGAAAGTTACAAAAATCAATTGGGAGAGGTCCCCATCGACTTTTAGTTGACAAAATCGATTCTTAAGTCATAACTAATGAAAACAAATAGTAGAAGATATGATTTATTTATGGAAGAAGCAGTGGAGCCAAAGACAACAAAACCATAACAACTACATCTTAGACTTTGTCAGCAAGCAACATCAATTTACTTGGAAGTTGGTCATTATTTAACATCAATAAAGCTAGCTACTCTTTATAATAATACCCCATCTTTTTTACCATTTTTCCTTTCATTATTTCCTTTACATTTCCCTACTTTTGATCTTCGACTACTTTTCAGTTAAGTGATGAAGAAATTTTCAAAGTAAAAAGAGTTGTTAATTAGTTAATTTACTTTATTGATAAATTGGGTAATAAAACATCTTTTTCATCCAGCGCCTGTAGCTCAGTGGATAGAGCGTCTGTTTCCTAAGCAGAAAGTCATAGGTTCGACCCCTATCTGGCGCGATGACTTATTTTTAATTTTTTTCCCATCTTTGCTTCGTTTCTTTCTATGTTTTCCATTCCTTAAGTAATGCAATGAACTTAAATAAGAAAGTAGGAATAAAATGATACATACCTCGTCCCCATAATGGCAAGGCCAGATTGCAGGAACCAATTGGCAAAGAAACTTTTTGTTCTAATCTTGCTATTTCCGGTTCGTAGTACCACCACTCACCTTCCTGTTTCACCAAATCATTGCATCGAAACACCTCCATCATCGGCCTGCACTTACTCAGGAACACCACTCTGGTCCTCATATTCCAATCTCTTTTCCCATTTTTAACCGCCATATTTGCCGCTATCAGGTGAACCTGCAGCCTAAACACGTCCCTAGCCCACCCGTCTACAGGATACTTACACGGCAGTCTCGCCACTATCAAGTCCATGTCATCGTATTGGCTGAAGTCCGGCATCGGCAACTCAGGGCACATTGGCCCGTCGATCTCTTCCTCTTCATCAATCCATTCCGGAAACAAGTCCTGCCATTCGAAAAGCTCCGAGACTCGCTCGAAAAGGATCGGGACTGTCTCTCCATGTTTTTCCCATTCACTATAATCCACATCCTCAAAGTTTAGCATCCCAATCTTAATACCTCCTCCAATCTCATCAATGAAACTCGGCACCTCTAACATTGTCAAGTTTCTCTTTATCTCCGGTTTAACGGCTTCAGCTCCCTCCAGGACTGCCTTCATCTTCACCCCTTTCTCCACCTACAACAGCCTTATGAACATCAGACACCGGCAGATAAAATGATAAAACAAAATCAAACATGTAAAGCAAATATTGAATTTTAGTCAGCTCACCTTACCTTGTGATGGCACTCACGCAAAGAGCATCTAACAAGCGATGCTGCATTCTGAAAATAGAGCGAAGAAGATGGGCGCAAGAGAAGAGATGCATAGATAACCAGAAAGAAAGCAAGAAAAATCAGGTTGATTCTAATAACCAAAGCCTTTGAAGGAGCTGCCTTTATGATCTTTTGAAGACTAAACCCCAACTCACCCATCCTTAAGCTAAGGTGTCCTACCTCAATGCAATTCCTCGATATATATATAGATGTATGTATACTTGTTATAATTAATTATATAACAACTTCTTTTGTAGTTCAATAAATTAAAATACAATTTTTTTTAGAGTAAAACACAAAAGAACTCGGACCATTTAAAAAACTCCATCTGTCGTTCCCTTATTACGGAGCTTATAGCTTACTTCTATCTCAGTCCCAATCCCAAGCTGTTGGCGACAATTCCCGTATCTTCCCAACATACCCCTCAATGCACTAAACTACAAACTTGTACACCAATTCTTTTTCATAAGGCCTAATATATAAATTGTCCTTGAATTTGATTTTTTTTTCTCAATTTGAAATTTATTTTTTTTATAAAAATTATCCAAATTTTTCTTTTAAATTTCCATGTTTTCAAACAGAAAGCACATAATTTAAATCCATTTTTTATGTAAAGAATTTTAGGTAAATATTACTTATCATATGGATGGCTTATTCATATTAATTTATAATTATAAAACTTAATGTTATGTAACAGATGGAGTCCAAATTCATTGCCTCAAACCAAATGTTTGCTTTCCAAAATCATGCAGGAAATGGATTCCTCCCCCTCACCAATAATGATAAAATTAAGAGGTGGCAACAACTTCCCAACTTTTCTGGACCGCTTAATTTCTCGACTTTTTTTAGGTACAAAAGGTTTTTAATATTATTATCAGATTAAATAGAGACAAAATATAAGGGGTAGAAGGGTAAATGTGATATCATGAAATAATTTTCGTGAATAATAATTCTAGAGGTCTTCCAAGTTCCAACAACTATTTGGTTGCCCTGTCAACTTCTTACATGATACGAAACGTCTATTTTAGCCCTTCCAGTTGAAAATCGATTAAATCTTCGACAATATATTTTATTAGTGTTTATTTAAAAGAGAATAAGCATATGATATATGATGTATTGATGATCCATTTAGTTTGGTTATCGGTATTATCAGGACTCACCCCAAATTATTACAAAGTAGACGACCAAAGCCTAAAGGGAAGGTGAAGTATCAAAATTTGGAAGCAAATGTCGGCTTGCTAATTATTACAAACTGATATTAATTTATTTCAAAAGAAAGATACAATCGAAGCTTACTTTAAAGCAAAAGGATGACGCACCAACCATCCAAAATGCTCGAAAATTCAGCAAGTTTAGGCGAATAAGCAATTTAGTCTATAATACTTTTGACATAATAAATCAAAGCGGCTTCGGCCTTTTCTGCCAACAATTCTATACATAAATCCCCTGTTGTCGTCCTCGGTTCCTCGGATTTGGACAAGCATCAAATGTTTGCATATGTTAACTATTGTTTTATTATTATTAAAGCCTGATTACGCGTCTGCATGTTTTAATTATGCTAATCCAATTAATTCCCATGTTTTATTTATTCGCAAAGACTTAAAGCACCATGCACGACTGTAATATGAGAAGCCTTCAAGCTCTTGCAAACTGGGAAGCAAACCATTGTGTCGGGAGAGGAGCAGACAAGCAGATTTTGATTATCAGAAATGGCGATTAAAACTCGTAACTACTCCGTTGACGGTAAACGAGTGATGACTGTTGAAGAATTCACTAGATGGTTAAAGAGATTTGATGAGGATAACGATGGACGGATAAGCAAAGACGAGCTTGCCGACGCCATAAGAGTCTCGGGAGGATGGTTTGCTAACAGGAAGAGCAAGCAGGGAATTCAATCTGTGGATGCCAATGGCAACGGATTTATTGATGACAGTGAGATAAAAAACCTACTGCAGTTTGCAGAGCAACACTTGAATGTTTGGGTTTTGTTTTTGTAAAGTGTTTGATTCGAGTTCATATCCCTTTGCTCCTTTCTTCTTGTATGATATGTTCATCTATCCGTTGATTTGAACGAGTTAATAATCCAAAAAATCATTTGGTTTCTTTCTATCCGCTCCCGAACATACGATAAAAGATTGCAGACAAAAGTTTACACTTTTAAACAATTTGTCCACCTCGAATCACATGGATTCACTATACAGAATATACATCAAACTGAACCCTTTCTTTCTATGCAAGTTAAATCACTTTGGACAATGAGAATCGGACAGCTCTGCATTTTCAAGACCATGCTGGAAGTTCTTGCCAACAGCCGTAGGTGAACATAAACCTGTAATTTTCCTGCACAATCTCATGGTGGAAAGTCAGAAAAATAGATGCACTGAAACTTTAACGGTGCTAGCTAGATGAATCTTGGAAAGCGCAGGCAAGGAGGTGCAAGGTCTCTGCCCACAAATACAATGTCTAATATTGATTGTCCTATGGTGTTCAATAAACTGCTACTCAAGTTCCAAGCAGATCCTAGAATGTTAATTGACACCTTGAGTTTTTTAACAAATAATTGAAACTAACATCGAATTTTACCTGTACAGCACCAAAAAGATAGCAGACATCGTACATCTATCTTGGTATCTGAATGCTCAAGCAAATATTAATCTAGCTGACATCTTCATATATCAATCAAAGGAGGTGGCAGTTTCCAGAAATTCCATGAGTTAAAATCCTCCTGTAACTAATAGAAGTAAATTAAGATGCAGAGCAAAATAGATAAAATGAAACATCCTAAAATGAATTAAACTAAAAGCTCGAGAACTTAGGAAATATATTCTCCGTAACATGCTAGTCCAGCATGATAGATGTCAACCAAGTGAAGGATGGAAAATCAAAAAGAAAGCGGGGAACAATCGGGCCTCTCTTCACAAAAAAAAAAAAAAAGTAAATCAACACTCAGCCTAGTCACCATCACAACCATGTTACCAACATACATATCCACAAAAGGCTCCGATTGGGAAGCAAACTCCATGTTGTCATCAATGGAAAAAGAAAAGGTAACAAGACCTGCTCCGCGGAGGCCATGGGCGGAAACATGGCATGAACAAGATCACGAAGGGAACTATAAGATTTGTCAACACAGTGGTTCATAGCTACCTCACCCTGCAAACTTGAAACCGTTAGAAGTTCGGTGCAGTAACATTGGAAGCATTTGGTCAACTTTCTTTAAGAATGAGATCCTTGATTACCTTTGGATTGATAATGAAGATTTTCCCTTTTGGGATTCCAACCTTAAGATAGCTGATTTCATCAGTATCTCTATTCCCAAAACCAGCATAGAATGGATTGCAATCAGGTGGAAACAGTGCTTTGATATCCTATATGTCAAAAGATTAAAAAAAACACAAAGTTTTTAAGTTATATTGAATTTTGAGACAAAAATTCCCATGCATAATATTAAGACCAATTGCAATCATAAAGAATGAAGTTCAAGAGTTGTAATTATATAAATTTGTCACATAACTCAATGATTCAAATATAATTTTGTCGAGGCGTTCAACAATCGTAGGACATCCCTCAAAACACTGTTAATTGCTCTCAGACTTGCTTGCAACCATTTGGATGTATATAAGAACTTGAAATGCTAGAAGTAATAGCAACTAATTTAAAAGTAAAAATAATATACCAGATAAATTCAACATATCAGAAGCAAATATGACAGCGCAGATAACTAACCTCTAAGCAAGCGATCTTGAACTCATGGGGAGCTCTTCTAATGACTGAGAAATATATAGGATGTTTAAGAATAAATAATGTGGATTAGATGTATCTTTCGGGGTGAGGGAAAAATATATATATACAAAACTCTAATATGATTGAAGAGGTATTAAGACATGTAAAGAATTACCTTCTCTATATAGGGATGGAAAAAGCCCATCAGGGGAAATAACAATTGGCCCATCTGGTAAAGCCTTACCATCCTACAGGCATTAAGATATGTTCAGTAAACAGTTCCACATTTTCATGAGCAATGGTGGTAAGCTAACCAAACAAAAAGCACAAATAAAAACATGAATTTGTTTTAACTTCTTGACTCTCATTTTACTGTTCAATATAAGAAAAGCATTAAACTAGCATAGTTCACCTGCTTAAGGTTGACTAAAAATTTTCTAGTGATATATGCCTGGGATATCGCACGTGCACTAAGAAAAAGCAATTGATACCCATTTTCCTGCAACATAGAAGAAGATTTTTTTTATGTATTGAAGATATTAATAGTGTTATTCGTATTCATGCTTTATAGTCTCTGTAAAATATAGAACTCTTTTTCTTTATACCATCTGAAATAAGACAATGATTGTATGCAAGGGCCTTAGTTAAAATGCACATGGTTTTACAAGCCAAAGGTTTATTCTGGTTGTGAACACGAGAAGGAATAAAGTATCATGAGCTGAAAATTTAAATGTAAGATTGCCCAACCTTAATTGCTGAAAATAAATGTGCAACACCACTCTGCAACCAATCTACCCCAACCAAAGGCATGAACTGACCCAGAACATCTGACCTGTATCCATAAAATAGAATTAGGGAAGCCGGAATGACTGGAAATGAAACCTCAGTCAGCAGCAATTAAGAAAGAACCAGATTATAAAAGAAAACTACAGAAAAAATACAAGGAACAATCAGGGTTATGTAACGCTAGCTGTGTAGACCTATGAAAACAAGAAAAATTCATTCGAGAAAAGGACAAATGTGAAATTTCATCCCAAGAGAAGATTTGAAGACAAAACAAATATACTCGGGTTATCCAAAGATTAATGATAAAGCTGCATTGTAATGAATAAAAAACATTGGATGAAACATAGAACTAAGGGGGAAATGGAAGCAATCAGAGCTCAAACTCCTAGCAAATACATTTCTTGTGACTGAAATAAAAACATATGAACAGCCTGAAGTATAAACCATGGCCAATTTCTTGTGCCATCAAAATATAGAAATCTGAATATTGTTTTAATTTTTCATGATATACCTTAAAAAATGATCAAATTGTTTTTCTCTATTTCACCCTAATAAACAGATTACCATCCATATCAATGTTTTCTTCTCTCTATAGCATGAGCGTGTTTATCATGCAATTAATATAGAACTCAGCCTATCGATGGAATGACTCAATTACGATGGAGATTGCCAACCTAAATCAACTGCAAACAAGCTCAGGTACCAAGGCTGAGCAACACCTCACAAAGCCAGTAAAATCAATTCTCCACTTAGTGTTATACCCATTATAACATGAAGCATGTGGGGTGAGATGTGGCTGTCACCTGTCATCTAAAACTGACATTTAATTCTCTACTTAATGACATACACATGAAGTTTAACCAGTACTCAATCTAAACCATAATGTGGCATAACAAGGTGCTCTGGATCAGTAAAACTCAGAAACATACTTACCTTGTAATTGTCCCATCAACATCTGAGATGACAATACGAGTGTTCCATTTCCACAAATGTATTCTGGCATCAACCTGTTTGGTACATGATTTTGAATGAGCACGTCCAGACTACAACTGAAAAATCAGAAATGACTAACAACAAAAAGCTAAATAAACTTCAAGTAAGGATTTAGACAAAAAAAAAAACCTGCTGCTTCCCAAGCATATTGGTCGAAAATGTGAAGGTTATATGATTCATCCCTTCCTTTAAATTCAATGATGCCAGTTGTTCCGAGGTCGGAGTGATTGCTCTGATCACCTTCTTTACTTTCTTGGGTTTAAGCATATTTCTATAATTGCCACTAGCAACAGTACCATCTACAGCATTCTCAGCATCCAAACCTCGGGTATCAGCTGGAGCTAGCAGCACAGCCTTCCCAGATCTTGATCTTCTCATAGAAAAAGGCCAAAGCCTCCAGCTTCCACGACGGGAGACTTCGGCTTTTGATGGATCCCCTTCGATGGAATTTTCTGCTCTGTCAACGGGTATCATGCCTTTGGGTTCAAATATTTGTTCACTTCCAAATGTAACAATCCCTAAAAGAATAGGGGCTGCTTCATCCCATGAAAAGTAGCGGTCACCAATTCGAACAACAAGTCTATCATTCTTCACAACAGCGGGACTTAAAGAAATAAATTTCTTGCTATCCAGTTTTTCAGCATCAAATGCTTGATATGCAGCTTCAGCCCCCATCCCTTCATGTAGCAAGTGTTTGCAAAGAGATATCTCTGCACAAAGCACAACAAATGTTACTTTCTACAATTTACAGCTTAAAAAGCACCAGAAATAGAGAATATTTTTTCTACATTTAATAAAATCATAACAAATAGTTAATTGTACTTTATCACAATCTATGGATTTATTCATCACATCATAATAACCAAGTTCTCTTATTTATCAATGAAAGGAAAAAGAAAAGAAAAAGATAACCAAGTTCTCTTACCGACAGTAGGATTGTAAAGAGTATTTTTAAACTCCCCTGAAGTCTGACTTTCCTCACAACTAGACTTTCCATGTGCTAATGGCTGTTCCTTATCTGCATCTGACCTTATACAGCTTGAGTCATCTTTCTTGATTGATGCCCACTTCATGGTTTCAGAATTAGAATCTAGAGAATGGCTTAGAGGATGATGATTGTTTACACCAAACATGGCAAGAGAAGAGCTAATATTAGGAAGTGATTCCACCTGCCATCCATTATTTTCACCAGTTACACAATGCTTTCTAGAAATACTAATAGGATTAGAGACTATCCTTGTTTTTTCAAAAGAGATTTCCAGATTGGTTAATGGATTCTCCTGAACAAAATTGTCGAGATTTAAATAAGATTCCTTGTTTACATTACATAGACCATTTACTTCTTCAGTTTCAGTACAAACGGAGGGAAGATCTTTATTTACACAATTTGGTTCGTGGAGTTTGAATGCATCAAGGTCAGTGAAACGGAATTGCTCATCCTCTGAACTCTCTGATGGTGGAACACTCCTCTTTGGGTCACTAACACCATAAAAGTTCTCAGATTCATCAACAGACTCCACAGAAGGATGAACAACATCCCTGATATTTTTCCCATTTTCAACATGATCACCAAAATCACTAACCGGGGCAGTAATGTGAATGCTACGTGACTTAATTTCTTCCAAACCAATTACAAGATCAGCACCAACCATGTAAGATTCTGACATGGTTAATGCACCTGTAGAACCTAACTCCATATCTTCAGCTGGCTTGGAAACTGTAACCTGATGAAAACCACCTAGTACATCAGTATAGCAAGAATTTTCAATTATCACAAGAATGCTCTTTGAAGAAAAACTTAAGTTCAATATCATTTCTAGAGTAGTTCAGAGCAGTTTTGTTGTCTTCAAAAGAATAATGTATTATAAATATCCTTAAAAATAATAATTTGTTTAAAATGTCTCTTACAACTAAACAGAACATTTCTTATGAGAGCTCACCTCTGGCACTTTCCCAGTTGTTGTAAGCAGTGTTTCAGCATGAACAAGTGCTTTACCATTTCCTATGTCAGAAAGGCGCAGTGATTCAAGAGTTTGCTCACTGGAACCATCTAATGTTATTTCTGAGCTCTCTGACATTTTTCTGTTTACAAAAGCTTGAAGATTGTCTGAAACGTTCTCATTACCAGCCAGTTCTTCATCAAACTGCTTATCAATACATGATTCAAACGTATATTCACATTGTATATCAGGACCACTCATCCCTGATCCTGAGAGAACACCTTTCGCATTCTCATCATGATCCAAATTCCTTATACTATTATCATCCATAACTCCTGATATATTGGCTATTACTTTGCATTTATCTTCAATAAAACCTTCACCTAACGAGTAGGTTTCAACAATTTGTTGCCCGGCACTTACACAAGACACTTGTTCGTTAACTTCCTCAACAAAACACTCTAGTTTCTCAAAGCCAGAAGAACAGCTGACCTTTTGCTTGTTGCAGTAATCTGTTTTGTCTTGTAATGTCTGGCAATCAACACTGTTTTCCTCCTTATCATGTACATAAGTCTGAAACAGGTTTTCTTCATCATTCTGCATCCCCATTCGAGAACCTTTTTTGTCCAATGCATCGTTTGTAGAATAAATCCCTGAAGCATAATTCTTTGATCTATTAGAAGCAAGGTTGGTAGACCACTTCACCTCCAGCAGCTCAGCAGCAAGCTCAGCACGCTCCAATGAATCTGATCTCATTACACCAGAACCACTAGCACCTTCCTGGTAACCATCCTTCTTTATTGACCTCTGTCCAAAAACAAGCCCAAATATTCCTGGCCGCCGGGCACTGGTCCTAGCCACAAGCTTCCCATGGCTCTCATCATCTGGAGCCACTGAATTTGACTCGTCAACATCATAATTGCAACTCTTGGACTTCATTGGCTTTCTATTACCAGACGACGGTTCATCTGTCTCATCCCCAGAAGACAAAGGAAATGATACAGCATCAGGTTCCATTTCTTCAACATCTATCTCCCTGAGAAAATATGCTTCCCCCTTATGATCAAGAAACATGTTGAAATTAGCCTCGATGCCATTTACAGTGATTCTTACCGCCTTTTCCTTTTCCCTTGTCTTTAAAACCCCTTGAAATTTACCGAACCGAACATACCAAGGCGATGATTTGAAGCTCCCATCGGGTTGCTCCACTACAATTATATCCACTGCGCCGCCAAAAGGATGAAAGGGACCAGAAACAGTATACACACCGCGGGAGATATAGCTACCAAGCCTGCCCACCGCATACATACTCTTTTCTTTGAATTTCTAAGCCCCCCAGATCTCAAATATTTGAAATTTCAACCATAATCTACTGAAAAAGTGTAAATCTTTTAATTTTCCAAAAAACCCATATAAAAGAGTCTCAAATTTTCAATACACAATTAAAGAACTCCAATCAATCAAGAGAGAAAACCTCGCTCGTTTTAGATGAAGAAAGCAAAATATAGACAAAAAGTATCAATTTGGGAATTGTTCAATGCAAAGATGCTCGAAATTAAAGAAACAAACAATAAAAGAATTACTCAAACCAAACAAGATAAATATGTGTTCGTGTCTACATATATAACAGAAAAATTGGAACAGTCATTGTCTCTCGTGTTCTTCTGTGTGTTCCTCAGCTGTAAATTAAACTCAAGTAAAAAAGAGATGTGAACAACCAAACAATCCAAACTAAAAAAGAAAAGAAGAAACCCAAACCGCCAAAACGAGAACGGTAGTTGACGTGAATCAAAGCATATTCGTATCCAGAAGATGCTGCGTCATTTAAAAAATTAAAATCCCAATTTACAATAAATATAAATAAAAAGGACAGAATTTATCTCTCTCAAAAACTAGCAAAAAAATAAATAAATAAATCAAATCACCTCAATGTTAAGAATTTGTTATTATTTGTTATTGTTTTGGAATTGAGCACGACATATATAAGATACGAGTGTTCTTATAATATTATTTGTTTTATTTAATTTTAAAATAGATAAATCGTAAATTTTGAACAATGTGTATACTAAATATTAATCCCACCTGAAAATGGGAATATACCATTTAAGTAGTTTCTGTCTTTCTCCAAGGACCAAACAATCATAAACACAAAACATTCAACGTAAAACACACTTATGTATGTATGTGTATATATATATAAATATAAATGTATTCATGATCATGGAAGATGACATTACTGGATATGTATTCGATTAACCATTCGCGAATAATTTGTGTATTATATTTATTAAGTTAAATAAATAAAAATTTTATATTATTTATTACTGAAACAAATGTAAACAAATATGCATTTGATTTATTTACATTTACGAATAAATTTAGTTTTTTTAAATCTAATGTTTTTATATAAAATAGACATGAAATGGGTTGGGCAGTTATGACCAATTCATGCAAGGTATTGACCTATTGTGTTTTATGTTTATAACGATGAACGTTGGCATATTTTGATGAAAAAAATTGGTCATATAAGAGATATTATTTACTACTAGAATGTTTGTTATAGTATTTGTAGACACACAATTTCGTCCGATCTTGTTATGTTCATCATATTGCATATTATGTCATTCAAGTCAAAGTCGGACCCACCCAAAAGACAGTTCCGACAATATTTAATTGGAAACCGTCATGACTATATGATAATTTTTAAAATGCGTATAAATTATACGTCGACTTTTAAAAATTACGTGGATTGTAGGGCATCATCTCCTATTACTTATATGTTTTGAGAACCGGACAAAAGTCATCATGTAATGTTGATGCTTCTAAAAGATAATCATATAATCCTAATAATTTCTATCGGATAATAAATAACCCATTAAATAAATAGATTTTCTAACTTTATCTGAACAATTTTTTTGTCTCCCTATTGTCTAAGCAATTTTGCCATGAACGCTCGTAGAAAAATCTGAAATAACATTATTATCTCTATGTTATACGAAAAGGGATCGTATGTACCAATCAATTGAGCTAATTCTTAATATCTTTAAGATTCGTATTAATTAACTCATTAAGTGATTTTAGTAGTTAAAGGAAATGTTATTCTCTTTATAAGTTTGGGTTCAAGAATTTGTATCTATAAAGTATGTGTGTGCTATCAATAGTTAAAAAAATTCTAAATATACATTGTGAGGCGGAAAAGCTTAAAATGCATGGAACTTTCACCCTCGGTGAATGGAGGGTGACAAAGAATTCACTTCCAAATTCCATTGCAGCCTAAATCAATCCACCATATGATGAACTGATTGTGTTTTCATGTCAACATCCTAAACCTTAGATGAAGCTTTAGACTGTTACGATCTTCTGGGTATCTGTTACAGTTGGAGGAGATAGCATGGAGAGAAGCGTGGAAGAGAAGAAGAAATTGGGGAAACAATTGGGGAAAGTAATGGTCAAGGGTTAGGGATTGAGGTTTGAGAAGGAATTGAAAAGGGGAATTTAGGGATTGAAATACGAGAAGGGGATATGGGACAATTACCTTCAGAAAGGGAGTCAATTCTGCTATTGGGTTCAAGCAGCAGTGGACAGCCTAAGTCTCCAGCAGAGAAGAGTGAAGCAGTCCAGAGCGTGTGGCCCAACAACCTGCAAGGAGAAGAAAATATAATTAGTCTGTTATAGGTAGTTATAAGAATGGACAGCTGGCTTATTTCAAAATGACATTTTTAGCCCTGTAATTAAATAAGACTGTTGTAGAAACATTTTGATCTCTCAAGTTATGAATGAACAAGTAATTCTTCTCTAAATTTCTCTCTAAATTTCTCTCTATTTCTATTATCTATTTCTCGAATTCTCTTCTAATCATCTCAAACCATAACATATTGGTATCAAAGCTTAGGTTTCTGGCAAGATTGGTGGCATGCCCAAGAAAAATCAGAACATGGCAGAAGATTTAGCTGGGTTGCAGAAACAGATGGACGAATTAACAACACTGATGAAACAAGGACAATATGAGTCTAATCCTCCTAAATGGTGGGAAACTCGGGATAATAGGATTTCTGTATTGGAGTCAATGATGGCTACGAATCACGGATATGTTGAGGAAATCTTGAAGATCCTGACTGGTAGGAAAGAGAACCAAAACCAGTCAGCTGAGGATCAGGTACAGACTCCTAACTCATCTAATATGAGTAGTAAACAGCTTGTTAAGGTGACAGTGATTAATGATAAGACTCGGTTTACTTATAAACCTGAGGAGCCTGGAATTCTTAAGTCTAAACCAGGGGATTTGCCTGTCCAATTGACTAGCTTAAAAAATGGCAATCTAATCGGGGAGAACAGTGATGTTAGAAATCAGTTAATGGCAGTAGATGTGGATAAAAGAGGTACTGGGGGGTCTTCTAACATGTCAGGGGTAATGTGGCATAGACCAAAAATTGAGCTGCCAATTTTTGAAGGACTTAATCTTAGAGGATGGTTACAAAATGTCTTAAATGTTTTTCTCTTTGTAGTATTGCTTATGAACAAAGAGTTGAGGTGGCTATAATGTATTTAGTAGGAAAGGCTGAAGTAGGATTTGATGGTTACGTTATGCAAAAACATCATGTTACTTGGCATGTGTTTGAGGCAGACCTATGTCATAGGTTCAGTGATAATTTTTTTGCTGATATAGTGGAGGAGTTTACAAAGTTAGTGCAAAAAGGGACTGTGGAAGAATATCAGGACAAATTTGAAGAATTACAGCCACATATGTTATTACAAAACCCTACACTAGGGGAATAATTTTCTGTTTCTCTGTTTGTTAGTGGGTTAAGGGAAGATATTAATCACAGAGTTAAGGCTTTGGAACCTAAGTCACTCTCTGAGGCATGTAGGCAAGCTAAGTTGTATGAGCTGTCAGTGGAGTTTGAGGGCAAAAGACTGAGATCAGCCTTTAGAAACTCATCTTACCCAAATCCTATATCTACTCAAAAGCCAAATCAGTTACTAGTACAACAGAAAAATGCAACAAACATATCACCAAAGCAAAATTTATTGGACTGTAAAAGGTAAAACAATTTATGCTTCAAGTGTGGAGATAAATTTGTTCCAGGTCATCAATGCAAAATTAAACAGTTAAATATGATGATTGAAGATGATATTGTTTTACTTCCAGAAAGTTCAACAGAAGTAGAGCAGCCAATGGTGCAAGAAGAGGAAAGATTAGAAATCTCTATAAATGTCATTACTGGATGTATTGGGTATAATACATTGAGGATACAAGGAACAATCCAAGGAAGACCATTAAATTATATTAATTGACAGTGGTAGTACCCACAGCTTTCTAACACCTCAGTGGGCTGATGTTGGTAATCAGATTAACACTTCTCATCCTTTGGCTATTACAGTAGCTAATGGACAATAGCTTTACAGTTCAGTAAGGTGTAATGGGGTGGAATGGAAGATGCAAGGACACTCTTTTATGCATGATTTCAGATTACTTCAGTTAGGGGGCAGTGATATGGTATTATGGGTGGATTGGATGAAATTGTTTAGTCCAATCTTGGTGGACTTTAATAAAATGACAATGAGTTTTGTGCATATGGGGAAGCAAATTACTATACAAGATCAGCAGTAGTCAAATTTTTTGCAGCAGATTTCAGGAGCTACACTATTGAAGATGACAGCTTCTAATTCTCCTATTTTGGGACATGTAGTATTATTCAATATGTTGGAGGATTCCAAGACTACTCCTACAGCTATCCAACATCTTTTGGACCAGTATCACTCTGTTTTTGCTGAACCTTCAGGACTGCCTCCTACAAGGAATCATGACCATGTTATTCCTCTTAAACCTAAAGATATCCTTATCAATTTAAGGCCTTACAGATTTCCATATAATCAGAAAGCTGAGGTGGAAAAACAGATTGCTAATATGCTTTCCTCATCTGTTATTCAACCAAGCAAAAGTCCTTTTTCTTCTCCATGTCTTTTAATAAAAAAGAAGGATGGTACTTGGAGGTTTTGTGTAGATTACAGGAAGCTAAACAGTATGATAGTGAAGGATAAATTTCCTATTCCTGTGGTGGAGGATCTACTGGATGAATTATATGGAGCAGTCTATTTTTCTAAAATTGACTTAAGGTCTGGTTATTGGTTTATCAGAATTAAGCCTGAGGATATATACAAGACAACTTTCAGAACTCATCAAGGCCATTATGAGTTCAAGGTAATGCCCTTTGGGCTTACTAATACCCCTGCTACATTTCAAGCCTTAATGAATGAATTGTTTAGTTCATTCTAAAGAAAATTTGTCTTGGTATTTTTTGATGATATTCTAGTTTATAGTACTTCTATGGCTGATCATATTATTCATTTAAAATTAGTTCTGTAAGTTTTGAAGACTAATCAATTATTTGCCAAGATGTTTAAATGCTTCTTTGACAGACTCATGTTGAGTACTTGGGACATATTATTTCAGCTTCTGGGGTTTCTACTGATCCTACTAAAGTGGCAGCTATGAAGAATTGGCCTGTGCCAAAATCTCTAAAATCTTTGAGAGGTTTTTTGGGATTGACAAGTTATTACAGAATGTTTGTAAAAGAATTATGGTACCATCAGTAAGCCTTTGACTCTGATGCTTAAGAAAGACAATTTTAAGTGGACTATTGAGGCTCTAACTGCTTTTGAAAACTTGAAGCATGCTATGTGTAGTGCTCATGTGCTAGCATTACCAGATTTTGGCAAGAGTTTTTAATTAGAAACAGATGCCAGTTCAAGAGGAATTGAGGCTGAATTA